TACTTCTTCTACAAAATCAAAGTATCCAAACCTATCAATGTCTAAGCCATACACAGTCTGGAAATTCCCACCAAAGTATTCTGTTGAATCTCCAATCTTGATAAAAGAACCACCATAGTTGAAGAAAATGGCTAATTTTTCGCTGCAAACAACATAGGGATATATAATCAATCCCATATCATATACATAACATACAAATTTCATAAATAAATTCAGTTTTAAATAAAACTTGAAATAACTGAAAATCCCTAAAATGCAAGAACCCTAATTTTGTAATAACCCTAGTTGCAATACAACCCTAATTTCGTATTAACCCTAATAGTAATAAAACAATCTGAAATTCACATGGAAACCATATGTCATAAAAAACCCTAATTTTTATATGAAGATTCGAAAGAAAACCCTAGTTTATCATGAAGCCAACCATTAAAAAAAATTCCTGCCATTGTTTGTTGTCGGACGACAAGGGCGACAATAATATTTTTAAAAATGTAGCAAAGATCGATCGACACATGAGATTAAAGAATTCAAATTTGGGGTCTACCTGTTTCTTCCCATTGCCGATGCACGAAAATCACGGACAACTGGCGCCAATCACGAACACATGGGACCAATATCTTGCCAATGACCGAAGAACATGTGAAAATTGAATTAAAAGAAACGAAATGGCTTTGGAGAATCGAGAATCGCTGTGAACGAAAAGAAACAAAAGCCCTAATTTTAGAATTTCTGTTCGAATATTACTGAATAAATGAGTTTATATGTATTGAATTCTTAATATGACCATTTTACCCTTTGTTGTGCGTGTGTGTGACATAGTGGCATCCTCGTCAGCTTAATTGCCCGGACACGTAGGCAAGTTCGTCGCTGCGGATTACATTGGGGTTCGGGTTGCCAAAATCAACAAAGGTTACGATTTATTTGCAATTTCCCTAAAGGTGATATTAAATTGCAAAAGGTTAAAGGTCGTGGTTTTATTTGCAATTAAGCCTTTTAAAAATAACTAAAGTACACATTTTGATGGGTTTATTGCACCAAAATCTTCCCGTATTATATGAAATTTGTGCGTTATCCTCCTGTATTTCAAAAATTGCGTCAAACCCCCTTGTATTTAATATTTGCGTGCATACTCGCCATTTGATGTTAACACCGTTACTTTAATACTGACAGCGTTACTTTTTTTCGTCGAATCTACAATTATACCTTTACGTTATCAGTGAATTTACTATTATGTCATTACTGTCAAATATGTTGACTTCAAAAATAAATCCCAAGGTGGGGATTGAACCCAAGACCTTTGGGTTATAAAAATGTACTCTCACCAACTAGGCTAGTTGGAATTCAATCATGAATGTGATTTCATATATATATATAAAGAAATAATATAATAATTATATATATATATTCTAAATTATAAATATATATATTCTAAATTATAAATAATTTAATAATTAAGTATATATATATTCTAAATTATAAATAATAAATGACTGAATATAATTTATCATTATATTTAGAATATATATATTTATAATTTAGAATATAATTTATTTAGAATCAACTAGGCTACTTGGAATTCTAAATGTATATTTATTTATATTATAATTATAAAATAATATGTATTACTTATAATTTAGAATATATTTACTTAGTTATTATATTATTTATAATTTAGAATCAATTTATTCATTTATTATCAAATCTACATATTGAATTATTATATTATTTATAATTTATAATTATCATTATAGTTTAGAATATAATTTATTTTACATTTATTTATATATTTTAATTTATTTAAATGAATCTTTTTATTTTTTATTAAATAGTAATATATTTATTTATTATTTTTGAATTTCCCATTTAAGTTTATTTAATTTAATTTTTATTTTATTTTAATTATATTACTTTCCCTCTTTGATTTCATGCTTTGGAAATTTCAATATCTTTCTTATAATTACTTTAGGGGTAACAAAGTAAATTCCGCGACTTTGGGGTGAAAAAATGAAGAAAAAGCCGCACAGCACGCGCGTGCACACTACTTTCGTCATCTTAGACGGTTTAGGGTACTTCAATCGTGCATGCAAAAGTACATTACAAGGGGGTTTGACGCAATTTTTAAATTACAGGGGGATAACGCGCATATTTAGTATAATACAAGGGGGTTTAGTGCAATTTACCCCAAATTTTATGTTAATTTTCTTCATATTCAAAATATTATATCTCATCTTAAAAATTTACAAAATATATTATATGGACTTATTTAGCAGCGTGGATTGGAGAAAAGCATTTGTCCGTTGAGAATCCTTGTTTCTTAATTTTGTATGCAACATTTACAAATCTTTATAATATTATTTTTGTAATGTCTTGTTGATTTAAATAGGAATATAAAGGGAGTGAATTTAAATGCACAATTACAGAAATAGGAATAACTGTAGGAGAACACGTAGCAACTCTTATGTATGTTTTGTATAGTGTGGTTAAGGTTACCAAATTAAATAAGTGTAAAAACGCAGGCTAAGCAAACAAATAAATATAGTGGCTAAGAGGGAGATCGTCAAACAGTGAGGAGAGATCGGCCAAAATGAATAATATGGAAATGTGTGTATGATGTTTATGATAGAAAGAAAATTGTTTTAGCGTATCTTTTATGAATTTTTGATATGTTTTTCGAAGCCTTGAAGGCTTAATTTATACATGAGTAAAATAGAAAAATAATGATGACTTTGTGTCAACTAGGAGTGCTAGTTAGGACATGTGTCTTCATGCAAAAACTCGACTATTGGTTATGAGACCGATTGAACAGTCGCTGTAACGGTTTGCTTTATCGATTCTTGTTCATACCCTGCAGAGAGATCGACAAAAATGTATCAATTGGCAGATCGTCGCTTTGGCTGAGGATAGATCGACGCATGACTGGTCATATGGGTCTTGGGCTTCTCCTCCATTATTTGGGCCTCAATTGACAGGGTCCAAGACCTTGAGAGCTGAACGTACACATGCCTCATTTGTTTGTCTAGATATGATAAGATTCATTTTATTTAAGGTGGCATGTTGCAAAAAAGGAGATCAGAATGAATTCTTTTTAGTTAGGGTGACATGATAACACTCTGTAGATCAAAATGGATCCATGTTTGTTGCCAATGACTGCCCGTAAGACAGAATACGTGTAATTTTAGCTCCTACGTTTGTTTACCATGACAATAGTTGGAAAAAAAAATCAAAATTTAACAATTTGTCCCGTAAACTTTGCTCAACTTATTTGTTGTTGGGATACAACCAAAAAGTAGAATATTTAAGGGTCATTTAGTGATTTCGTCAAGTTTCAATAGTAAGGATAAACAAAATACACCCCCAAGGTTCAATAGTCTTAGATATCCAAAACTATATTTCACCTCTGGCCGAATCATAACTTCAATTTGAAAATTCTTATGAAATCGATTCCAATTCCAATACACCTGAAGACGCACATCTAACAATTTTATGAAGATATCGAACATTTACGAACATGCTAGCAAGATGGAAAATGGTTCAAAAGCCATCAATATTATTGTTGTCAAATGAACAGAAAACAACTAGAGCGACATTTGTATTATGAACATATCTTTTTATATGTAGATGCCAAAATATTTATTTGCGATTGATGACTATTTGATCAAGATTCAAGAAGTGAGTCTTTTGCATGTGTTGAAAAATATTAAAAAAGGAGTTGTTGAGTTCTGATAAATAATGTCTAGCCAAAGATATTAAAGAAAGACGCTTTTTGGGCGGTAACTCAATTTTAGTTATTTTTATTTTATTTTATTTTTATACTTGATTTTATTTTTAGGTTAGTTTTAGTTTTGTTATTTTCCTAGTATTGATAGAAATTTTAGGTGGAATTTTTGTGCGTGTGTGTGTGTGTGTGTGTTTGTGTGTGTGTAAGGCGTGGGCACCCTTATACATGTCAAATGTATTTTGTTTTTTCCATATAAATCGTGCCCACGATACACGCCAAATGTATGTTTGTGTGTGTGTGTGTGTGTGTCTAAGACCAGCGAATCCCTTACTAGAAAGTCCGACTAGTCACGTTGAACGACCGCCGACCGCCATTAACGTTTCCTCTGTCTTCAAGACTTGGGAGCAAACTTTTTACTAGAGTATTTTGTACATTCTCGTTCAGTTTCGTCCACCGCTTGAGACCAGTAAGTTGCTGATCAAAAAATACGCTAGCGACGCGATGTCTCCTCCATCTTCGTCGTCCACCCGTGTAGACTTGAATTTTTTCGGCGAGCCATCATCAACCCCCGCGCCCAGACCAGATTGACGAAGGAACACATGTCGTATGTATAGATTTCTCGATCGTCTACAAGTCCAACCGCCACCGCCTCTTCTGTTCACTTTCACGACCTCATGTTCTCCATTCCCACCACCAACCATCGTGTCCACCGTCGAAGCACACCCCGACGAACCCTGCTTCCTAACTCGATCACCGCCTGCTGATATTTTCCGACGAGTCATGCTGAACGCCTGCTCCCTAATGCCTGCTTCCTTTTTGGGTAGATTAGAGGATGAAATCGCCATTGTTGGTCGTACGTTCATATTTGGAGTGTTTTGTCCCATGTTGTGGGACTTTTTAGGTGTTCAGTTGTTTTTTTCTTCGGTAGTATGTGTCTGCTCCGGTCTTATACTGATTTAAGATATACTAACACATATCATTTCGTTAAAAAAACAGTAGGTCTTCGTTAGACATGTCTAACCAATAGGTCGACATACTCTTTTAAAAAATATTGTCCATCATTAGATAATATATATACTGAGTCACCAGGAAATAAAACATATACATCCTTGTCTTATTTACGTGGCAGGATCTTATTGGACAAAGCGCTCAAAGAACACGTTATAGAGTTCTTTTAAGCTCCCCTCTTTCGACTGAGGAACGAAAATCTGAAGTCAATAAAATCGAGAACGAAAAGAGGAGAAGAAACAGAGCTCTTTGAATCATCGTCAAGGATTCGGCAATGGCGGAAGGCCTTGAAACACATCCCTCTTTATCTTCTCACCAATCCTCTTCTAACGACGTCGTCAAGGATCAATCACAGGTGAACATTCCCCACTTTTTTGTTGTCTATATTGTGTTCAATAACATGTTTGTGGATCGAATAAACGTTTAATTTATGTTTATTGTTCTTTAAACATCGGCGTTCTCAAGATTATCGGCCGAGGTATCATGCCGTTTTTTGTTAGATTTCCTTATAATTTTTAAGAATTGGTGGTGTTTCAGCTGGGGTTGAAAAAAAAAATTAGGGGAATTGTAAAATTGCCAACTTTTTCACCTTTTTCTTTCCTGAAATGCCGTTTTTTGTCGTAATACCGGTAGAATTTGGTCGTATTAGGCATAAACGAACATTTTTTTGTGAATTTTCCTGAAGCATGATTTTGGTGTTTGCCCTTTTGATGGAATGCATTTGACTGCTGGTTAATTTTCCTTGATCATATAACTGCGAAACGATGATTTGTTAGGAAAAACTTAATTTTCGTGGATTTTTGAAAAATGGTGATGAAATGTGAATGCTGATTGGTATGGAAGCATGTAAATTCTCGATTGGAGGGGTTATGTGTGCTGTCTTTGGAACTAAAACATATCAATGTTATTGAGAAGTCTTCGTACAATCTTTTGACGTAGTCATGATCAATTTTATAAGCATATTTCTTAGTCGATATGTAGGTATATTGCTTGAGGTAATAAATGGAGATCAGTAGGAATGTGCACAGATTACAGAGGGGTCTTCTTAATCGTGTAAAAAAAAATAAATTAATTGGTACGTGCGTAAAGGTTGCAGCTTTAAGTAGATGAATGGTCCAAAAGTTACCGATTGCCTTCCTCTTTCTTGCGGAGTCTGTATGACCATATATTACTAGGTTTTAGCAGTTGAGATGCCATTGAATACTCAAATGAAATTTGACTATTTTCTTATAATTTCATGGACTTTCTCAAGATTTTGATATTCACTTCAGTAAAACATGTGCCTTCAATCGTAAGGAGCTGTGATAGCAAACATTGAATGCACCGAGAAATAAAATAAGAAGAAAAAAGGAAAAATAAAATTGAATAGTGGGATTATTGTTGGACTGTAAGAATGTCATGAAACTCTCGTTGTATTCTGCTGTATAGAATAAGCGCAAGTTTTCATAGGCATAGTATACTTATATGAATATTCTTGTATAATCTCTTGTGATTTGTGATAGGCACCTTCATTTGATGATCTAAAACCCCCTAGCAGCAATAACTCGACGTGCCCAATCATGTACCCTGCCTTAGTTCCTGGGCTGTTCCCTCCTCAACTGGACCAGGACCAAATGAATCGTGGGCCGGGCCTCTATGCTGTCCCAGTTCTTCCATTCGCACAATCCATTACTGGGTTCCCCACCAATACTCTTATACCTTTCACCTACAACATACCCACGTAAGTTTTCCCGCATTTATGTGGAGGTAGTTATTTCTTGTGTTTGTCAAATTTGAGATGGAATTTTTTTTTACGCTTATTGAATCACAACAAATTTTTCCCAACTCCATCTTTTACCGAAATGCATCGAATATATATAAACAAAGAGACTGCCTTGTTCTTGTTTTATTTAATTATTTTTAATTTTTTGTCTGTCATCAGTGCAAGAAGTTCATCGGGGAATGGAGGTGCGGGTGCTGAGCAGGGACAACTACAACCAGGGGAACAACCTCAACAACAGCAAGAAGCTGGACCTCAAAGACAAGTCATTGTTCGGAGATTTCAAATTGCTATCCAGCTTGATCTGTTGCTTATCTTAAAATTGGCTGCGGTTATCTTCTTGTTTAACCAGGATGGATCAAAACAGAGGCTTACTCTCCTCGTTTTCTTTGCTTCACTCGTTTATTTGTAAGTTGATATTCACCTTACGATAGCCTTGGGGAACTAATTCATAGGATTCAAATTTCTTATCATTCTTGTTGTGGTAATTGCATTCTTGAGTAAGTTTTTGTTTGCTGACATGACATGAAAGCAAAATTACAAATATTGTCCCGTACTTCACTTCGGGATAGTAGCAACAATTGTACTGTGAAATATGCAATCCCTCATAAATGTCTCATAACTACATAAATGTGACAATGTCGGGATTATTATGTAACTTGTTCGAGCAAACATGAAATATTTGGATCGTTAGCATGTCCCTTTAACAAACATACTTTTTAGTTACAGGACTAATTTTGCTACCTCCCTCGAGATACAGGTCTAAAATTCGAAATGGGTTTAATTTTGTATTTATGTTCTTGCATCATGCAGATATCAAACTGGAGCCCTTGCACCCGTGATACGGTGGCTTTCAGAAAGAACACAAAGGGCAGTGGCTCGTCCCCAGCCACCCCGAGCTGCCGCTCGAGCGGACAATTTACCTGCAGCCGAGGGACGGGGAAATGAAAACGCTGGCTTAGCAGCAGGTAATTTGTTCAAGTTTTTCATAGTTGCTGTTGGTTGAAAAGGAACATTACCTCTATATGTTTTCTGTTGATCTTTTTCTGCACTATACACCATGTTATCCAAAGCTTTTTATTTTTTTATGATTGCTATACTCCATCACACAAAGATAGACTAATTACTTAGTTTCATATTTAAGAAAACATCTATAAATGTTATTTGGAAAGGAAGTTTAGCGGTATATTTCAAGTATGCCCTTTGAGTTAATGGTTATTATTACATCTTCTTGATTCTATCTTTTCGTTGCTAATTTTTTAAAGAAACCGGTTTATATTTGTGGGATGAAAGAAAATAGTACCAATCGTACGTGTCTGGGTGAAAGAGTATAATATTATAATGCAAGTAACTAATAATTTCAAATATGTGAGGAACTCAGGGGCACAACCTGTGGGGGAAAACGAGAATGATCAAGCGGGTGATGGTGATAGAGCTGATGATAACGAGCATGGTGGAGAACAAAATGAGCAGGTTGAGGCTGGGAATCGGTGGTGGGGAATTGTGAAAGAGATTCAAATTATCGTCTTTGGTTTCATTACCTCACTTCTGCCCGGATTCAACAACTTAGATTAGAGTATATATTAATGTTTTGAGCATATTTTTGTCTCAAAATGAAGAGTTTTCGAGGCTTGGATTTCATGTAAGTTGTCTTAAGCTGCTGAAGGATGACAGAACATGAGAACATCGTCGTTCATTTTAACTAAAGTTTTTTATCCATAAATAGCTCAAGCTAACGTGACATCCAAAACCAACAACTTGAATCAAAGAAATTGTGCCAGTTTTTACACAGCAGAAAATCTGTATCTACACGACTTTAAGATAATGTACCAAAAAATTGACTAGATACAAGAAAAGGAGGGAAATCCTTTTTTTTTTT